ACAAGTTGTTTTTTTAATTATTTTAAGAAGACTGAGCAATTTAGAATATAGGATTAATTTTGTTTCAATAGTGTATGAAAATGGTACAATACACTTTTGTACTGCTGCCCTGTATGTTTAAAGCAAACAGTATAATTCGAATATGCGCATTCAGCGCGCGTTTTGTTATTCTTTTTCGTGCTAGTAGAATGTCGTAGACGCGTCTATGCAGTTTGCGCGGTTACGAGTCAAACCGGTTTAAAAACCAGTATCGCGAATCCTATTAATGTAAAGAATTTTACTTCTATTTCGAGCTCCTCAAAAAATATCGAAATACGCGTGTCATTTTTTCTACGATTATTTTGAAATGCGGCGCCTGTATAATGTGTTCGAAGTAATAGTATCTATAATTACATCGCTTGAAAGTACGAAGCAATTTAAACAATTAGAAAAAAATTGATGTCACGTCGTATTTTCATGTATTCTTCTATCGTCTACTGACTCATTTAACGATATGCATTAGTTCATTCCAAGTATCTTTCACAAAAGCATAACGTGTGTTACGTTTACTTAGATCGATGTTTTACGAAAAGATAGTAGATTACGTTAATTTGCACTCCCTAATTTACATCGAAATTCTAACAACGACCGAAGCTTGTCCAATTATCCTCTGAGAAGTTTTCAGCAGGTGCAACGCAGGTATATACGCTTATCGCGAATACCTACGAGATAGATCGGCCGGTAAAGAAATTCGGTGTTCACAGAGTGCGAGAGAATCAGTATCGACAGAAACTTAACCTCACTATGGTGGTACGACGACGAATCAGTTGCGCACGAAATGTCATGGAAATGTTCTAAAAGACAAGTAACGCCAATTTGAGCAACTATCGTCGTGCATTAATCGGTCTTATGTAATAAACGGGGTTATATTTTTGTTAATAACGATAAGATTACTCTTATTTAATCATGTTCGGATGCGTAATGTACGCGAAACAGCGCGTAACGATGCCTCAGCTTCTGCTGAGAACGAGCTTAGGCCACGTACGGGCTAGATCGTTCGTATACTAGTTTCCTGAGCATCAAAGAAGCATACGGTCACGCGGTGAAGTGTATACGTTATTCAAACCTGTCGATTCCATTGTATCCACGTTACGTCGTATTCGTTCCACGGTTTTGTCGCATTGCGTGTCAGTTTACGAATGAAATATGGGAGCTACTTCGAACGCAACATACTTAGGGCTTGATCTCAGCACACAGCAGGTAAACCTTTAAAGAACTGTATAATCTTGCGATCTGCTTTCTGTTAGAAGTCGAACATATGTTTCTAGTAAATAATCATCGACGAACTATACGTTTTCTCGTAGTACAAAAGTGCTTATCGTCGACACGACGCATGGATGACAGTATCTTGTACATTCAAGGTTCATTTCTCTCCTACTTTCTTTCCTCCCGCCATGTACTTCTGTTTCCGACTTTTTCTGCCTCTACTTTTATAATGTCACATACTACGCGGAAGCTGTTGCTGTAGTCATATGGTAATAAATCACAAGAAGTCGACATTTGTTGCTTCCAAAGAGCAGTTTATTATTTTGTGGTTTACTGATGTCCAACTACTGGTTTCCAACGCGCATCACCTATTGCGCATGCTCTTAAAGAACCGCGTTTCTTTCAAATCTACGAAAATTACATGTTCGTAAAAATATCGTTTTACAAAAAAAAAAAAAAAAAATTACTTTAATAATAAGTATACAAGATTTTCGTTCATGTTTAAAGGCTACATAAAACACAATTAGAAATAAAAGCAATATATATAATAAGAATCGAAACAATAAATAAAAGATACATTTTTCTTTCACCAGTTTTAATTATTTATTATCTTTTACGATATATTGAGAATTGTTTCAAAAGTTGCAATGTTTTATAAATCGAATTAAATTATTTCTGTCCTCACGATGTACAATTCAAATACTCAACTTATTTTAGTTTCTCAAATTTCAAATATTTGTTCCGGTATACTTTACATTATCTTCCCCGATAAATATTTGAAATCGCATCCTCAAGTTTCTAATTATACAACAGGCTCCGCTAGTTATATAATACTTTTCCTTCGAAGAATTTAACCGAGTTTAAAGCTTGTTTTCGATAAACAACGAATCGTACGAAGCTAAGGAAATACCAATGAAATTTAATTAACAATAATCGAATCGCAAGTTCACAGCATCGTTTCGCTGTAACCTTAAAAAAAGAACAGACTGTCTGTAGCGAACGGTTCAACAAAGTGACGCGAAAATTCATCTCGGTTGATTGATACGAGCGTGTTTCGCAGCGTGTGACGCGCGCGCAATGGGTCACAATTATCTAACGCGATGATAACATTAAGCGTGGAACGATACGGGCGAAAGAAAAGTGTATCTCGTTTGCAACGAAAAACGCGGAACACTAAGAGCGCTCGAGACGATAATTGAAATTGCAAAACTGGTCTCACACACGCGTCTCCAACGAAAAACAAACGATCGAATAAATTCAAATCTCAAATATATTTCCGAATCGAATTAATCACAAACGTCACCGATATATGAAACCTAACCTAACCACATTTAGTTAAATGTTATTAGAATAATGATTTTGCATAATGATTGCAATTACATAGATCTGAAAGCTTCTTGTTTTATTGAAAGTAAACAACCGAATAATAGACGAAGACAGTTCTTTGCATATTTATACGATAGCCGCAGAAAATAGCATTTTTAAATTTCAGATTTCGTATTAAACTAATTGATCATACCGCGTTTAGTTAGATACGTTTTCACCAGGCAACCATGTTGTCGCGTAATTTATTCGATCCCGATGATAATAAATCGACGACTTTTGCATTATGAATTTAACATAGAAAAAGAAAAAAAAAGAAAAAACGATTAATAAATATTTTTTGGTCATCTGTAGTTGAAAGCGGTAGTCGTCGATAACAATCTCGCCGTTCTCCATGAAACCAGTGTACAATTCGACAATGATCTGCCGGAGTTTAGGTATGTTTAATAACTATGACATCATACGCTTTGCATGTAATACACGTTTCTATTTTCAGCGTAGACATTTAGCTTTCTCTAATTTTTTGGTAACAATTTCTCTCGTTAAAATCTGATTTTTCACGTCGAAATGCATGTGTGATGAATTAACAAAAATACTTTTCAATGAATTTTTTCTAGTTTTCAGTGAATTTTCAGTGAATTTTTTCAGTCTATTTCTAATAATTTACTTCGTTTCGTTATGGAGAGAGCGCGATGAAAATTCGATTCGTAGCAAGCAAATAATTTTTCTAAAATAAATAATTATGTCTGCGAATTTTTTATCGTTTGCGTATTCTGATAATTCGCAAATATTGTTAAATATAATTTTCTTTAGTTTTCGATATCTAAGTTAATTGATTTTAGCCTTTTAAAAAATTGCCACTGTACCTACTCGTTTGGATGAAAATTTAATCGTATGAAAAATTCCATCGTTCAGGATTTAATTATTAAACATTCGACCGTTTTAGAACGTACGGAGGTGTCATTCAGAGAAAAACAGAGCCACACGTGGTGGTGGCTCCCACATTGATGTGGGTTAAGGCTCTGGACATGATCCTTGATAAATTACGCGTGTGTGGCGTCGATTTTAGCAAGGTGGCTGCTATTTCCGGATGCGCACAGGTAAAAAAAGAAGAGAAAAAAAGAAAAAGAAAACAGGCGTCATAAACGTTTAAAAAGGTGGAATACAAATATCACGAGCCGTAAATTATATTACCGGTGATAAATCTGTCTTTCAATTTCTCTCTACGTCAAACGAGCTTCGTAACCAAAATGTTATGTAGAATTACCAAAGCTATAAATCTCGAGAAATCTCTATAAATTGCAGATGTCTTTATTAACATTTTAACACTTAAAGGAATAAGTTACGCTTTTTCTTCTAATAATATAAATTTAAAAGATAGATTACAAAAATTCAGGTTTTAATTTATCTATAAGATAAATAAAAGTAATTTGAACTTTTTTGCTACGACGCACTTGTAATTGATAGAAAATGCAGTCTGACGCGTCTTTCTTTCCTTTTTTTTTTTCTTTTCTGCTTCGGTCGTTGTGTATCAGAGAAAATTTCGCAACACACGACCCTTATAAACACGAACATTTTACCGTGCTTTAAAAAACACACACAGGCGATAACGTTATCTTTATTCATTATTACATAGCAACATGGCACAGTTTACTGGGGCAAGGGCAGTCGAAATCATTTGCAGCAGTTGGATCCTGCGAAATTCTTGCACGAACAGCTGGTCACCACTTTTTCGGTGACACCGTCACCTGTGTGGATGGATTCCAGCACCACCAAAGAGTGTAACATTTTAGAAGAGATTGTGGGTGGTCCGGAAGTACGCATTTTCATTTTACTTTAATAAGTAACGATCAAATTTCTTTCGCGAAGGAGGATCACGTTATTCTATCATTTTTTTTTTTTTAATTTATTCTCATCTCTATTCGCCAATATTTACTTCAATCAATGAACAGTTTCAACGTACACTCTCGTTCGTAAGTATTAGGACACTTATCGAATGTGAAGGAAACCTAAGCAGTCGTCATAAAATTATTAAGATTCTTAAAAAAATGAGTTAGTTTGGAATTTCATGGTACAACGAATAGATACGATGAAACTTTGAAATATCTATTTCCATTTAAAGTGACGGCATAAAAATGAGGTCCTAACAGTGTGTCGTTGATTATGCCACACAAAAATGAGTTTGTCGCAGGTCGTCGAACTTGTCTCGATTAAAAATACATTTGTGGTATCACCATTGCAAATTAAAAAAAAAAATCTATTTAAACCATCGTACTCTGTATAAAAAATAATTAAACTTTGTCCTCTTCAATGTTTCTCACAAATCTACCGCTTGCGAGAAAAACATCCTGCATATTTTCACCGATACGACACTAACTTTTCTCGATGAAATGTTATTTAAATCAAAGAATACTTTCAATACGAACATAATGGGTGTCCCAATATTTACGAACACCGGTGTACATTGAAACGAGAAATTTTCTCGAAACAAACGCGTGCCATTCTTCCGAAATTTTCAACCGCGATTCACCAATGGAATATTCATCCACGTCGACGAATTAATTCACAATTTACATACGTTGCAAGCACCGCCAAATACACTTCTTCTTTTTATCGCGATTTCCGATCGTGTCCATCCGTGCAGGATGATATTTATTTATTTATTTTCTTCCTCCGTCTGTCTGGCGCGAGATCGAAAACCGGGCGAACAGAGAAGACGAGAAAAGGACACCCGATTACCGTTCGATATTTTTAGATCCGTTAAAAATTCGACGTTGTTCAGCCGTCGACCTTCGCGGCGATTAATTAAATATTTTATTGATTTTATCGCTCACCATTGACAATGAAACTGGCCGGGTAAATAGGTGTCCTAAGGAACATTCGTGTGACTTCTTCTCGCGTGTTCGACGGTCACCGGTGTAACGTTATATTTGTGCATAAATTACAACGTCGCGAAAGGGCATCGGTGTCTGACGATTGATTCATAATTAATCGTATATAATCGCCGATTAACGCGCTAATCAATTATTCGTTTATACGAACTACCGTGGTGTGTCGTTGTTGCAGAAATTGGCGGAGATAACGGGTTCTCGGGCGTACGAAAGATTCTCTGGACCTCAGATAGCGAAAATAGCACGCACTAGACCGGAAGCCTACGGCAACACTGAGGTATATCTACTAAAAACCCCGTCACACTGCCGACTTCATATGTGAAACAATATTTCGGAACGGCAATCAATCGAGAGAGAGGTAGTAACCGATTACGCGTGTGTGTTTATAAACCACACGCACTGGTTCGAAACGTTTTATCATTTTTTTTTTCTTGTCGATTTCTGTGTGAGAAACCTCGACGTGATTTTGTGAAAAACACGCGTTTACTGACTTGTTGGCCGATGATAACAACGATTAACCGCCTGTTTGAACTGTTCTCTTTTTAATAGATACCGTGTTCTCGCTCGATGTCACGTCTATTTAGGTCGTTTCTATTGCGATTGGAGAAAAAAATCGACGCCATTAGAGGTCGAATGCGCGCGGCTAGTAAGATATCAATCTTGGAATTAGTGTTACGAGGGATTGTTTCTTACGAGTTTCGAGAATGTTTAAAAAGTATCGGAATTTAGTGTTTAACGGTTACGATTGGTTGTTTGAAAAGTATCGCGATTCGTTGATTAAGGGTTCCTTTTGCAAGTGTACCGGTATTTTGTTGAAATACTTTTTGTGAGTTTTGAGGAAGAGACTAGGAAAATGGTCTAAGTTTATGTAACGTGATTGAGTTTATACTGATAATTGAAAGCTGAGTAGTATCGTATTTAATTTAATGCATAACAAAGCTGCTTTATGTTAACTAAATTTCAGTAGTAATTAAATTTTGTTCAAAAATTTTAGAATTAGAATGTCAAAAGGACTCCACTTTAAAATAATTAATCAATAATTTGTCCGATTAAGGGATTTTTAGTGGATTAAAAATAATTGAAGTTAATAAAACATTTTATTTAATTTTAAGAAGCAGAATTTATTGATTTTGCAGAAAAATAAAACACGTTGCTTATTTTATATATTTGGGTCACTCAGAACTACATATCTTTCTAAAAAAGAACCTAGAAACTGTGAATAAATTAATTTTACAAATTTAATTTATTATTGCTAAAGGATTTAATTTAATTTTAAGAAGCAGAATAGATCGTCGCGATAGAACGATTTAAACTGTTCAAATTTCCATTTACTATCGCAGTAGAAACGTACCAAGTATTGCCTGCCTAAAATATTTTCAGAGAATGCTCGATTTAACGTATAAAAAGTTCCTATTTACAAAACTACCTAATTTTCATAATATTCTTATGGGAATGCAATAACGTATTCACTAATACGCATCCTTCGTTACGAAACGTTTAATTAGGCTACTACACTCTTTTTTTTTTCTTGTATTAATGCGTTTTTAATCATTCTTTCAGAGAATCTCCTTAGTTAGCAATTTTCTCGCTTCCTTATTTTTGGGCGACTTCGCGCCAATCGATTGGTCCGATGGCTCTGGAATGAACTTATTAAATATTCATACGAAAGACTGGGACGACGTTCTATTGGAGGTAGAATATCATTGATGATTCTTAGATTTCCTTCAGGCTAAATGAAATATGACACGAGATTCGTGTGCAGCAATAAATTTCGACATTCTTTTATTTCCTCGAAGAGGATTTTTACATAAAATCTAGCATCGCACACAAAGCTGTTTCACGATCATTGACCAAATTTCACGAAGTTTATATATATATATATCTTTTCTAATATTCAAAACTGCCAACATAAATATCTGAATGTGAAAAAATATCAAACACAAATAGTTCTCACTTTACGAAATTTTTATTTTAAATTGTACGGGGAATCCCGTAATATGTAATGACGTAATAATCAGTTAGAACGAGCCCTCCACTTTCTTTAATTAAGTTAAGGCGGGAACTACCTGTATTCAAAAATTTTTTAAATCAAAAAATTGAAAATTTAAGTATTGAAACATTTGAAAATATCTTAGAAAAAAATTAAATACTCTTATCTAATACTACATCTTTCATTTTTAACAAAACTACAACACAAAGCATTTAGAATGAAAAAAATCTCAAATCTAAACTCATACTTAATTGCAAGTAACAATTTATTGAATTAATTGAGGAATGACTATTTCTTCGACAATAATGTCACCCTGTATACTTTATTTTTTCGGTATTTATCATCCAATCACTGTTTATTCAGGCTTGTAGTCCTGGTTTGCGAGAAAAACTCGGGAAACCAGTTTCCTCGTACAACGATATCGGTCCAATTTCGCCCTATTTCGTCGAAAGATTCGGCTTCGACGAAACATGCAGGATAATTACGTTCACGGGCGACAATTCTGGTTCTCTAATAGGTAAGCGTAGCATTGGTTAATCCTACGGTTTCGGCACGAATAATTTCCGTTCGAGCGACGGTATTAATTTATACGCACTACTTCGCCTTCTGACGACAAGTTTTGATTCCGCGAGCTTGATCGCCCTCATGAATATTCACGCGAATACGTGTCCAATTGGCGTCCGTAGATACGCTTTAGATAGACTTTCGCTCCACATACGGAATGATTAATGAGATTTTTCATGTAAACTGTAATTTGCACTTTACTGTTAAGGAAACCGTTCAATGATTTCTAAATCGTTTGATATTTCGTTGGTCCACTGATCTTTATCTTATTTCATTTTTCCGAAGAAATGTTGCTTCATTTTTTAAACGAAGATATTTCAAATTTTAATTTAAAAATTTTT